ATGTGTACTGGGAGCCCCAAAGGGACGGTGCTTTGGGGACAAGGGTGTGTGCGGCTGGGGCGGTACCACAGTGAGGGTTCCAGCGTCCCCGTTAGCAGAGTTGAGCCTTGGAGGTCCCTGCTGTAGGAAGCTTGTGTAGTTTTATCAAACTTACCACGTCCCAGACTTGCTGGACCGATGCCCCTTTATTCTGATGCGCTTCTCGTCTGCGAACGTGTTTTCAGAAGCAGTGACTAGAGCCCAGAGGGGTGGTTTTTCGGTTAAGGTCACAGTGGTGAGTGAGGACGCGCTAGTCCCAGGGTACCTATGTCCTGGGCCTGGCGAGTGTGTGAGCGTCGGACCCCTCTCTCCTACCCTAGGGTGTGCTGTGCCGGACTCTGCAAGGCCACGGCCACTGGGTGAACACCATGGCACTCAGCACTGACTACGCCCTGCGCACAGGGGCCTTTGAGCCGGCTGAGGCCACAGTTAATGCCCAAGACCTGCAGGGGTCCTGTGAGTTCAGCAGGAGAAAGGGGGAAGGCAGCTCGGGAAGGAGCCAGTTCTGTCACTTAATGGACGGGAGGGTTTGCTGTTCGTGTTGGGTTTTCTGATCAGCCTCGTCCCTCACCCCCGTCTCTCCCCCCCACCCCGTCCCTGACACAGTGCAGGAGTGGAAGGAGAGGGCGCTGAGTCGCTACAACCTTGTGCGGGTGAGTACCATGTGTGCCCCAGCCCCGCGGGAATGCTGTGCAGACACTCGGCCTCTCCCTTCTGGCTGCCTGTTCTGACCAGCCTAGTTTGCAATCCTGAAATCGTAAATGTGCCAGGAGTTGCTTTATTTCACTTTTCTTGTTTTATTTGCTTATCTCTTTGTTGTAAAATAAGTAAGGAACTTTTTTATTTTATTTAGTTTATTAACTAACACATTCACATCTAAAGATCAGAGACTCCAGAAAGGTTGCCTGGGACTCCCATTTCTATTGCATAGCCAGGGTTTCTCCTGGAGGCATCCAGTGCTGCCAGCACCTTGTGTCTGCTTGCAGAGGTTTCCTGGGTGTACATACATGTGTATATGTATCATGTACAGATCTTCACACATACAATACGTGTAGAAATGCCCCCCTGTTCTTAACGCACTGCTCTGCCACGTAGTTGCTTTGCCATGCAATCAGATAGCTTAGAAATCATACCAGTTGCACAGACTTGCCTGTTCCTTTTGAGCTGTGACTTGCCCATGGTCATGGGTGAGTGAGAGACTGGCCTAGGCCTCACTCCCAGCCCTGGCCTCTGTCCCTGTCAGTGATGTTTGCTGCTGAAGTTGGCGCCCCCTCCCGTCTGAGCCCACGTCCGATGTGATGTGCCTTCTGCCTCCCTAGGGCCAGAGCCCCGAGAGGCTGGTGTCTGGCTCAGACGACTTCACCCTGTTCCTGTGGTCCCCAGCAGAGGACAAGAAGCCCCTCGCACGGATGACGGGACACCAGGCCCTCATCAACCAGGTGCTCTTCTCTCCAGACTCGCGCGTCGTGGCCAGCGCCTCCTTCGACAAGTCTATCAAGCTGTGGGATGGCAGGACGGGCAAGTGAGTGGGGCAAGGGCCGCTCCCTGCGAGGCCCCTTCCCAGCTCTGTGATCTTGGCGGGGGTCTGGGTCTTTGAGCCCGTTTCTTCTTCCGTGTCCCGCAGACCCCTTACCTCTTGGCTGCACTGAGAGGATTAACGAGATGGCGTATGTAGGACGATTGCGAAGCGGGTGCTGACAGTGCTTGTTCATCCCACGTTGGGGAGAAGGGCCGAGGGGCCAGGGATGTGGCCGCGCTAGTGAGGGGAAGCATAGGTAGGTTCGTGGCACAGATACCACCTGGCCCTCTTCAGTGTAGTCCATCAAGCGCGGTCCACGGACCAGCAGCCTCAGGGGCGTGAAGGAATTGCATTTTAAGAAGGTTGCCCGGTGACAGCTACTCATTTTAACTTGAGAAGCTCTGGTGTGAGAGTCTCAGTGTCCTCAGGCTCATGAGGTGGGAATGGAGGCCAAGGCCTGCACGAGCAGAGAAAAGGAGCAAGGGCATGCCCCTTTGGGGCTGAAAGAGAACCTGTGTGTCTGTGTGTTTTCACACAGCCATCCTTTGAGATGGGTAATCCAGTTCCTTTTTAAAAGAAGGAAACTTGGTCTCCAAGAGGTCTAGAAGCTGGTCCAGAGAGTCCCAGCTGGACTGCGTTGACCGGAACGTTCCAGGTGGGCCTGGCCGGCTGTCACTGTAGCCACCTGCCAGCAGCAGCTGCTATGTGTGAGGGGTGTTGGGCAGATGGGCTGAGCAGGTGGCCACATTGGATTGTAAGGCACACAGTCGTGCAGGTATGGAGGCCTGGCAAGAGGCACCCTAGAATGAGCTCATTTGGAGAAGTTTTGCAAAACAGTTATGAGTGGTAATGATTAAGATGGTCTGGAATAGGAGCCACGTGGTGAGAGGCTGTAAAAGGTCCCTGGGGAAATTCTAGCAGGCAGCCAAGGTGGAGTACCACTGCTGTGGGCCTAGGGGGAGCTCTAGGGCACGTGTGAAGCTCTAACACCCAGCCTCTCCCTGGCTCAGGTACCTGGCTTCCCTGCGTGGCCACGTGGCTGCCGTGTACCAGATCGCGTGGTCAGCAGACAGCCGGCTGCTGGTGAGCGGCAGCAGCGACAGCACGCTGAAGGTGTGGGATGTGAAGGCCCAGAAGCTGGCCACAGACCTGCCAGGCCATGCCGATGAGGTGCGCCCCCCTGTGGGCAGGCGGGGGCTGGGACTGCAGCCCTGCCCTCTTCCCCACACCACCTCACTCTCCTTCTGCCTCTGGCAGGTGTACGCTGTCGACTGGAGCCCAGATGGCCAGAGAGTGGCCAGTGGTGGGAAGGACAAGTGCCTCCGGATGTGAGTGGGAATGGGGCGGTTGGTGTCCTCACGTGGCGCCCTCTCCCCTTGGTGGTACAGAATCCTGCGGGGCCCCCAGGTGCTCAGACTGCCCTGAGGAGGTGTGGCCAGGATGTCGGTGGGCAAAGAGGGGTGCCGCAGCAGTCGCAGGGATTGAGGGGACCCTGGCAGGACATGGACCTGTCTCTGGGGGACACATCCAGGGTCTTGCAGCATCAGGGAGTGAGTAGGGGTTCTGGGAGAGCCCTGGGCTTGAATCCTGTGGCTTGAGCCGTCACGGAGACTTGGTGAACTGGTCCGTTGGGAGTTATAAAACCTCCATAGACAGGAGGATGAAAGGGAGCACACGCAGAGCCCTGAAGTGCTCTGATGTGCTGTCGGTGGAGAGTCCTTGCTGCCGGGATCCTGGCTGGGGAGGTGGGGCCTCTCCTGTGTGAGTGGCTGGAGCACAGAGGGGCCTGGGGGTGTAGGAGGCCCCTCTCACGTCCCTCCCCTTCTCCACAGATGGAGGAGATGAGAAGCCCTGCATCTCTCAGTCCTCCCTGGGCTCGGGCTCGGCCAGCTGCCTGCTCTGCAGAGAACACACCCTCCTCACCAGTGGTGACCTGCTGCCCACCACAGAGGCTGTTGGCTCTCGTCACAGGTCCCCTGCCTGGGATATGGCTGGGGCCCCTCTGGGTACCTGGATGGCTAGCGCTGGCAGGGAGAGGGGAGGCTAGTCTCTGACGGGGCCTCGGCTGCTGCCCCTGCCTCCAGAGTGCCAGCTCTGGTCAGGGTCAAACTGCAGGTTGTGTGACCAAATAAATAACTTCTATTTTGTGTGTTTGGGCTACAACTCCTTGTTCTAGAATCCCAGGCTCAGCCAGAGACTGTGCTAAATCTGGCCCACTCCCTTGCACTGGATGAGGCCAAAACCAAGCTGACCAGGAAGTTGCCTTTCCTCTTTTTCCTTCATGCTGTCAGTGTGACAGTGGCCAGAGGATAAGCCAGGGCTGTGCTGTCCACTACGGAAGGCCCTGGCCACACGTGGCCATTTCTGTTAGCCAGAATTCAGCATGGAATCATGGGGCCTCGGTCCTGCCAGAGGCTCCGGTACTAGATGGCACAGATAAAGGTTTCCCAGGGCAGGTGTTTGGAAGCTGTTTGGGAGGCCTGTGTCCCATATATCTGAGTGCCTGTTTCAAGTCTCGGCTCTATTGGCCATCCCAGCTTCCTGCTAACGTGCACCCTGGGAAGCACAGGTGATGGCTCAAGCACTTGGGTCCCCACCACCCATGTGAGAGACCTGGATGGGGTTCCAGGCTTCTGGCTTCTGCCTGGCCCAGCCCCAGCTTGTGAGCATTTGGGTAATGAATTAGTATATGGAAGATCTCATTCTCTCTCTCTGTCTCTGCCTTTCAAATAAAGTGAAAATAATTTTTTTTATAAAAACAAATGTCATCATCACAGAGTTCTGCTGGGCCTCCCTGCCACTGCACATTTCCGGAGGCCCTCCCCGGCACCTGCACTGGGCCAGGCTCAGGGTGGGGAGGACTCCCTCCATCGAGGGACAGGTTGCTTTCAGAGCTGTTGCAGAATTGTGGTGTGGTGTGGTGTGGTGCGTTGGGGAAGAAGGTTCTTTGTCCTGTGGGAAATCCAACCTGGCCTGTACCCTGCCTCCGCTTTGTGCCACATCCGATGCTAGCGTGGAGCCTGGTCCAATTTATTCAGGTTGGACTTCCAAACCGCCCTTACAGGAACCGCTGAGGGCCTGAAAGAGTCTCGCTTCCCCATGCTGTTGATGAGGAAACAGCCCAGGGAGCGTCAGTGATCTGCCCCTGCCTTCTCACACAGTAAGATGCAGGATTCAGCCAGACCGTGCCCTAAACTTTGTGCACTTGCACCACATCCTTCCAGCGCCGGCATCTAGCTCTGAGTCTTCGGGCTGCCACCACAGTTATCCACCAGTCTGCCCTGTACAAGTGTTTGATCTTTGAGTTCCAGTCTCTTCCTCTGGGGAAGGGGTGATGGCAGCATCCCATTACCCAGCCACCCCCTCACCTCCATCCCCCCGTGGACTCTTGGTCCTGCCAAGGACCAGGGCTGTCTGCAGCCTAAAGTGGAATTTCCAGGGGTTGGATGACCTGCAGTTCTTTAATGAGGAACCTGGACCCAGCCCAGATTTGGGGAAGGAGGGAGTGTAACAGCTGTGGGCAGTGGCTGAGCCTGGCCTGAGATGTCTCCAGGCGAATGGGGCCCCCATCTAGCCTCAGCTGCAGCCCGGAGTGGGGTTGTGGCACCACCGGGCCGGCAGGGTAGTCCGAGGTTCTCTGGCATGGTGCCGTGGTACAGTGCGTCTCATGTTCCTGAGGGCCCCGGGCTGAGGCTGAAGGAGGTGAGGGGCATCCTGTGGCCTCCCCTTAGTAGGGAAATAGGTGTTCCAGGTCTTCAAGTCTCCGCATCTCCTCCACCGTGATGGCCACGGTTTTCCGCTGGGGCTCCCGGCGTTGTACGGTGATCTGGATGGGGTTGTTCTCAGGAAAGCTGTTGAAGTCAGTGGCCACGGTTGCAAACTGAAATGAAACGAGAAAACCCCTCAGAACCCCTTCCCATGTGGGAGCCTGGCTTTTTCCATCTCTGTCACCCCGTCTTGCCTGCCAGATGGCATCTTGGATGGCCTTAATCAACCCAGTCATTGCCGCGAGACAACCGCAAGGAGGCGGGGCTCGTACCTGCACCTCCCCACCTGTGTGATGGTTCCTACCAAAGGGTTGTGTGTCCTCAGGCCTCCCCCCGAGGGCCCCTGCCCACTCCAAGTTGTTCACCTCATCCTCCCCCTTTAGCCTCTTCCCTGTCTTCCTCGATGCCCTTGACTTCCTGGCCCACTCAGAATTGCCAGCACTAAGTGGAACATTAATGTGATGCTGACAGATAAGTTCGTTTGGATTAGAGAGGCTTGCTCCTTAAGCCTCCCAGGCAGGATATGGCTGCCTGCTGGCCCAGGCAGAAAGAGCCACACAAGGGGATGCCTGGTTTCAGGCTTCTGACCTTGGACCTCGGGCCCCTCTTCTCCCAGGCTCACTTTGTAGGGCTTGCACCACTTCCCCACCCCAGCTGTATTGGCTGCACGGACGGTGAGGCAGTAGCCGGTGTTGGGCTTCAGCTCCATCAGCTTGACCGTGGTGCCCAAGATCTTGTTGAAGATCCACGGGCGGTTCTTTGCCTTGGGTGAGTCATTGTCATCTGTTTTCTTGGCCACTTCTTGTAACAGCACCTGGTAGAAACTGACCTGCTGCTTGCCCAAGGCATAGGTCCAGGAAATCTAGGGCAAGAGAGAGCCCAAGGCTTCCTTAGACCCGGCGCATCCTTCCTCACCTGCCCACTGCACAAGGGTCACAACATCCCGCTCCTGTCCCCTGCTCCTGCTGGGGCCCAGCCAGGTCTGATGGAAGGGGGAAGGCACTCCAACAGTGGCTGTGGAACCACCTGCCCCAAAGCAGGGGCTACACAGGCAATACCCCCACCGACTTGGGATGCACCCTCATTCCTCATTTCTTCTCATTTCTTCTGTCAGCTGAGAGGGACCCTGGAGACCATCCTGTGCACTTTGTTCCTTGCAGATAGGGCCATGGTCACAGCAATGGAGTGACAGAGCCAAGGTCCCAACCTGTGTCTCCAGGGTGCACACACTTTGTATTATGACAATGGCGGCCAGGCCTGGCCAGACATCTCGGGAGGTTCTCATAACACTGCAGACTCCTGCTGCCCCTTGTCCGTTCTCCCATTTCTGGTCCCTTCCCCTTCCAGGCCAGTGGTTCCCAGTGTTTGGTGGGTATCAGAATACCATGGAAGGCTTGTGAGAAGTTAACGTGGCCAGCCCCACCCCCACATTCCCGTTTCAGAAGGTCCTGGAGCAGGGTGAGGTAAGGATTTCAATCTCAATAACAAGTTCAATTTTTTTTTTTTTTTTTTTTTTTTTTTTTTTTGACAGGCAGAGCGGACAGTGAGAGAGAGAGACAGAGAGAAAGGTCTTCCTTTTTGCCGTTGGTTCACCCTCCAATGGCCGCCACGGCTGGCGCGCTGCGGCCAGCGCACCGCGCTGATCCGATGGCAGGAACCAGGTACTTATCCTGGTCTCCCATGGGGTGCAGGGCCCAAGCACTCGGGCCATCCTCCACTGCACTCCCTGGCCACAGCAGAGAGCTGGCCTGGAAGAGGGGCAACGGGACAAGTTCAATTTCAATAACAAGTTGCCCTGTGGTGCTGCTGTATCATGGCCCACCTGGAAAGCTCAGTTTGAGAAACACCATTCTGGGCCATCCAAGATCTGGGCTTCCAGATTTGTCTTCCAAGAGTACATTTATGAACTGGTAGAAGGTCTTGCACAAAGCTAAGGCCTACTGCCTACAGCAAAATCCATAGCCTGGCACTGGGAACCCTCCAGGAAATGACCCCAGGCTGACTCCCCTCTGCTCCCCTTCCCATCCCCTAGGTCAGTGCAGATGACCTGTGGGCCACCCTCCGGGAGCATCAGCATTCACCTGGGAATCTGTTAGCAATGCACATCCTCGGGCCTCACCCCAGAACCTCCAGGGATGAAGCCCAGGACTCCCGATTTTAACGAGCGAGAGGTGACGGTAGGAACCTGAGCAATCCAGAAGTGCTGGAATTGGGCCTGGGATCATTTCCTCTCACACTTCCCCACCTGTGAGCCTTTGCGAGGGCCGCCCCTCCATGGAGCACCTTTCCTCCTCCATCTCTAGGTGTGTAAAGCCTCCTCCTGTGTCAGAAGGTGCCAGAAGCCACCACCCTCACACTGCAGCTGGAAGGAATGTTTCCCTCTGAATTCCTGGAGGAATTTGATCAAACGTTTCCCTGCAGCATCGAGCCCTTTCTGCCTCGCTCCAGGGTTCTTTACAGACACACTCTCTCTCTCTCTTCCTAAACCATGAACTTGAGGTCCACGTGCACACTGCCCACGGAGCTCAGCTCAGGGCCGGGCACAGGACGCCTCTGCAGGATTGCACAAAGAGGGAAACGCACCACAGCCGTGGAGTCGCTGACCGTGTGCTCACAGATGAAAGGGGCCTCCGGCGTGTCCAGGACCACGGAGGACTCCGAGCGTGTGGAGGAGGTGTCTGTGTCCAGCGCAGGGTTGTCCAGGTCCAGCAGGCCCCCAGGGGTCATTTGGGACTTGCAGGGGTGGGGGCAGAGGGCCAGGTCCCCCTTGTCTGTATTCTTGGCTATGGAGGGGAAGCTGAGTTTGTTCAGCTCGCCCTCTAGCATGCCTGCAAAGAAGCTGCTGTTGGGCTGGGTCACAGCCAGTTTGACGGGGTTCATCAAGGTGGACGACATGGGGGTGATGCTGGTGTCATCGGAGCTATATTCAGAATCTTCCGTTGGCATGGGCTTCCTGGAGCGGGAGGGGAGAGGGGAGTCAGAAGAGGGAGGCCACCCCAGCCCATCCAGCCCGGGGGCTCCCCAGGGCACGCCTGGGCCTGATTTGCCAGCATCCCCTGCGGCTCCTGAACAGCTGGGGACTCCCTCATGGATCTGCAGAAGAACATCACACCCATGGGGGCACTGATGAGGAAAACGGATGCTTGGTCCCCAGCCCCCAGCTGGGGTGGGACTGGGGAAGCGACATCTTTAATCAGATCCTTAGAGGGTTCTGGAGCAGGGGCTCTGAGAACCACCACCTGAGAAGTGCAGCTAACCGGTTACGTCCTCCCTCTGAAGTGGGGTGTGGGGCAAATACAAACCCCTCGAAGGGGAGCGATAAATCAAGCGTTACGAATACCTATGCATTAAACCTATTGTTTAATGTAGTTACTAATATTTATTTACACTTACAACATTGATTAATATAAAATTAACAGTGAGGGGCTGGCATTGTGGCACAACAGGTAAAGGAACCACCTGTGGCACCAGCATCTCATATCAGAGAAGAACTGACTTGAGTCCTGACTGTTCCACTTGCGATCCAGCTCCCTGCTAATGCATCTGGGAAAGCAGCAGAAGATGGCCCAAGTGCCTGGGCCCCTGCACCCACGTGGGAGACCCAGGTGGAATTCCAGGCTCCTGGCTTTGACTTGGCCCAACAAGGGCCACTGTGGCCATTTGGGGAGTGAACCAGCAGGTGGAAGACCTCTTGCTCTGTCTTTCCCTCCCTCTCATCACTCTGCCTTTCAAATAAATATAATAAGGCTTTAAAAAAGTTAACAGTAGGACAGGGAGATATACTGGAGTGAATGCTCAAAACCTTTTTTCTTCTATTCTGATTTTTTAAATTATGAACTATTTCTGGGGGGTGAGGACTTGTGTTGCAGCATGTTAAGCCACTGCTTGGGATAGCTGCATCCCATGTCAGAGCTCCTGGTTCAAGATCCGATACTCCACACTTCTGATCTCGCTTCCTGCTAATGCACCTGGCAGGTCACAAGTGATGGCCCAAGTGCCTGGATTCCTGCCACCCACAGGGGAGACCTCAGTGGAGTTCTTTGCTTCTGCCTGGCCCAGCCCTGGCTGTTGCAGGCATTTAGGGAGTGAACCAGAAGATGGATGATCTCTCTCTCCTGTCACTCTGCCTTTCTAAAATGACTCTTATTAACATAGTATGAAATATTCTAGACATACACAAAGAGTATATTGAGCCTCCATTTGCTTCTTATTCAGCTTCAGAAATAAAACCTTATCAGTGTAGGTTATAATCCTTTTGGGATGTCTGCATCCCAAGTGCCTAGGTTTGAGTCCCAGCTCCACCCCGATTCCAGCTTCCTGCTACTGGGGACCCTGCCGACCACATGAGAGGCTAGGACTGAGTTTCACACTCCTGGCTTCAGCCTGGCCCAGCCCTAGCTATTGTGGGCTTTCGGGAAGTGAACTAGAGGACAGAAGTTCTCGCTTGGTCTGTTTCTGTCTCTGTCTATACCGCTCTGTCAATCTAAAAGTCTGGTTTCCAAGGTTTTGGTTTTGTTTTTTAACCTTGACCCAAAGTAAGAAACACATGTTACATGGCAACTTGGTATACATAAATATACACCTATAACTAAACCAGATGTTTCAGGGACTGGTACTTGCTCCATGTGTGCTATACTCTGGGATTTCTGATTCTGTTTAGGTTCATTTTATCATATTGTCTGCACCACCTAGAAGGGTCTCCTGACCATTAACGGGTCATAATCCACAGCTCGTGCCTCCCTTACTCCGGCCCAGCCTCCATGTCATGGTTGATTGGTGGGCTAAGCTCTCCCTCCCTGAGTTTCAGCCCCCTTGACTCCTCCTGAAAACTCCTGAGCAGCCCAGGCCCCCTCTGCTAGCCCTTGGTGGACATTTGGAACAAACAGTTTCCCCACCAAGACTTTTTGTAGGCTGCAGAAGTCTGGGTATTGGTGTCGTTTTTGCTCGATTATTCCAGTGAAATCTTCCTTTCAGACTCACTCACTGGAGATGCTGGTGCTATGTGGGCCCAGGGGCCACCAGGTATTTCACAGCCACCCCTGTCTTATTTGCCCTTGTTTGCAAATGAAGGACTGAGTCCCTGGTGTTAATTAACCTGAGGCCATTGAGCTAAGGAGTATAACTTGAATTTGAACTTGAGCTCCTAGACTTCCACAAGGCTGGAGGCTTCTGAGTTTAGGCAACCTGCTTACTTCAAGGTCTTGGACACTACTTCCCTCTTATTTAATCAAAACCAGCCACATAATTTACGGGGCCCAGTGCAAACTGAAGTGCTGACTGAGCCATTTGTTCAAAACTTCTGAAGAATTGTAAGACAGGAGCTGGTGCTGTGGCGTAGCGGGCTAAGCCTCCGCCTGCGGTGCTGGAATCCCATATGGGCACCGGTTCAAGTCCCGGCTGCTCCTCTTCCAGTCCAGCTGTCTGCCTGGGAAAGCAGCAGAAGATGGCCCAAGTTCTTGGGCCTGCGTGGGAGACCCAGAAGAAGCTCCTGGCTCCTGGCTTTGGATCAGTCCAGCTCTGGCCATTGTGGCCATTTAGGGAGTGAACCAGCAGATGGAAGACCTTTCTCTGTGTCTGTAACTCTACGTCTCAAATAAATAAATAAAATATTTTAAAAATAGAATTTAAAGACAGTGACAATAGAGCATTAAACTTGGCGCAGTCCCCTCGTGAGCCCGACGCGGTTGTGACTGCACAGGGCGCGTCCCCGGGAGACTGCCTGCGTCTGATTCCCTCAGCCCAGCTTAGCTGGCACCACCCCCTCTGCATGGCTCCCTCCTTCCCTGCCCTGATGACACAGCTCACACTTCCCTCCCTCCGAGAAGCTGCCCTTCACTGCATCCTCCCCAAGCTATCGAAGCTTCCTGAGGCCCCCCGGCTCCTCGAGGCACCCACCATAGCACTTAGAGGCCTGGCCGTGTCATTCTGGTCCTGCTGACCACACCCCTGCCCCGACCCCACACACCAGCCTGGGAGCTCCCTGGGGGTGCTTCGCTCCCAGGACCCAACCCAGGGCCTGACACCTGGCAGGGGAGTAAAGTAAAGGAAACAGGGACTCACGGAGGAAGAGTAGCAAACCCCACATGGCGGGGGGTGGGTGGGCAGGCTATGGGGGAACACGATTAGGCAGGCAAGGGCGCCACAGGGGAGAGGGGCCGGGGTGGGTGGTGGCGAGGACAGTAGCCAGACAAAGCAGAAGGGGGAGCAGTGTCAGCAAAACCCTGTCTAACCCAGGAAGGCTTCCTGGAGTGGGAGAGCCTTGTACTGCAGGGACCAACTCTGGGCTCGGGAACACAGAGGTGCGACCCACACACGTGGTCTTTCCAGGGGACCTGGGGGCTGGCCTGAGACAGGCGAGGGGGTGCGGCTTCCTCTGGGCCCTCTCCCAGTCCCCCAGCCCCAGAGTCGCGTCTTACACAAGATTGATGGTGTCTTCCTCCAAGAAGTTAACCAAGCTGCCTCTTGAGGAAAGCGGGAGTCCTTTGGTAGTGACGGTGCGGTTCATGGACTTGGGGTTCAGAAAGGGCTTCGGCAGCTGGTCGAGCGCACTCACGAGGTTGAGGTTTTCCTTCTTCAGCACGGCCTCCTCCCCATCTCCCACTTTACAGAGTGCGTTTGATGCCATCTGGTTGGTTTGGGACCACAGCCGTCACCATGCAGGACCACCGAGCTGGCAGGAAGCAGAGAGAAACTGCGGGGCCAGCAGACACACCAGAGGGGGTGCAATGGGCTGACTTCACAATCATCAGCTGTAACAATCAGGGGCCAGCCTGGCCCTGGGTTTGAGGCTCCCTGGGGTGCTGGCTGGGCCAAAGGGCCAGAGCCACAGGTAGGGTGGAACCAGGCACGAACCACAGTATCCCTCAGGCTCTACCAATGCCCACAGCAGCCAGGGCTGGGCCAGGCCGAGGCCAGGAGCTCAGAACTCCATCTGGGTTTCTCCCATGAGCGGCAGGGACCCCGTCATCGGAGCCATCATCCCCATAGTGTCCCCAGACGCCTGCCTCTGAAGACCTCGGAACACTTGACACCTGTGCCTCTCTGCGCTGCCCTGCAAGGAGATAGAGGATGAAAAAGGCGCCTGGGCGGGGAGGGAGGTGCCTGGGGCTGGGGAGGCTGGCGGTTCCGGGCAGAGTCTCTGAGTGCGGGCGACGCTGGCCGCAGAGGCTGCTGCTCTCTGTCCTCAAACTGTAGGCGGCAAACCCCACTGAGTCGGGTGATGGCTCCCGGGTGCTCACAGCTCCCAGGGGAGGCCGCTCGGAGCAGGGATACGAATAGCGCCTCCCTCTAGGTTTGTCAGAGCGCTCGGTAAAGTCATTTTCACGCTTCACCGAATCGCACGTGCGTGTGCGCGTGTTCCATATGCTCCAAGGTTTCGAGACAGAGAAGTAGGTGCCCCCTGCGTGCTTATCCTAGGATCCGTACCGGTCAGATTGCTTTGAGTCCTTTTCATTGCCTGTCTCTCCCCGACTCATCAGCTCCCAGAGGGTAGAGGATCGTCCACGAGTTTAACATTTTTGTCCTAGGGCGGCCGTGGGCGCGGGGTGGGCGCGCAGGAACCGGATCGGGCTGGCGCGGCGCCAGGCGGCGGCTCACGGATCGCGGATCGCGGGGCCCGTAGGACCCGCGGGCGCGAGGCTGCGGCGGCTCGCCCTGTGTGGCCAGCAGGTGGCGCTGCGGGCCTGGCCCACGCCGCGCGCGCGAGCCTGGAACCCGGAAGCGGCCGGAGGCGGGCGGGCCCTGGGCGCCGGAGGGGCGGGTGGTCAGCCCCCTCCTGCTACCCGCCGCTCGGCGCGGCTCCTAGCCCCTTCCTCCCGCCACCAGTGCGTCAGGACCCGCTGCACCGAGGCGTGCGAGGGGCGTCTGAAGGGGGCTCTGCAGGGACGCTCTGTCCCGCGCCGGCGGGGAGCATGGGCGTGCTCAGGGTCGGCCTGTGCCCAGGCCTCAGCCCGGAGATGGTCCAGCTTCTGCGGAGCCGCGGGATCAGGACAGGTGACGGCGGGCCGGCGGGCGTGCGTTCGTGCCGGGAAGCCGCGGGGCCACCCCTCGCCCGCCACACGCGCCTTTCCGCGCAGCCTCGGGCATGGGGCGGGGGGCGGGGACGCCAAACTCTGGGGAGCGGTGTCGCACCGGCCCTTGGGAAGCCCCTGGCCCCCTCGCTGCCCGTCAGCTACAGGTGTTTTGTTTTCAGTGGTGGACCTGGCCTCCGCAGACCTGGAGGAGGTGGCCCAGAAGTCTGGCTTGTCTTACAAGGTGAGCTCAGGAGGAGCTCCGCGCTGCGAGCCTGGGTGGGCTTCCTCGCCCCTGCCCAGGGCAAGGGAGCAGAGGCTAGCCCGAGATGGACGAGGGGAGCCGGTGAGGCCCAGGGATGGTTGAGTGCCCGGTTGTCCCTCTCAGTGGCGAGCCAGTCGGAGCTGCTCTGGAGCCTGAGCTGACACCCCCCCCTCCCCACCTTGGCAGGCCCTGGTCGCCCTGCGGCGGGTGTTGCTGGCTCAATTCTCGGCTTTCCCCATCAATGGCTCTGATCTCTACGAGGAACTCAAGAGCTCCACCGCCATCCTGTCCACGGGCATCAGGAGGTTCGTATGTGACTGAAGCTGCCTCTCAGCTCAGCCCTTGATGAGGGAGGCTGGAGAGAGCAGGTCCTTGGAAGCACTGTGGCTGTGTGGGAGATGGGGACCGTCCTGAGCTATGATGGTGGACCCGACATCACCCCTTGCTGAGATCTACAAGATGTCAGTGTCTCCTTGTTACTCAGCACATTGGACTATCTCTTCTGTGGTCCTGCCTCCCATTTCACTTAAGGACAGCACTTTAAAAAAAAATTTTTTTTTTAAATTTATTTGAAAGGCAGAAAGTTACAGAGAGACAGAGGGAGAGATAGAGAGAAGTGTTCCATACGCTGGTTCACTCTCCAAAATGCCCCCAGTGGCCAGAGCTGGGCCGATCCAAAGCCAGAAGCCTGGAGCTTCTTCCGAGTCTCCCATGCAGGTGCAGGGGCCCAAGGACTTGGGCCACCTTCTACTGCTTTCCCAGGTCATAGCAGGGAGCTGGATTGGAAGTGGAGCAGCCAGGACTTGAACTGGCGCCCATATGGGATGCCGGCACTGCAGGCAGCAGCTTTATCTTCTACACCACAGCGCCAGCCCCAAGGGCTAGCGTTTGCTGAGTGCCTACACTCGCATCTATTGACCATAGGGTTATAAGTGATCTCATCAGGGACCCCACAGATAGAGGCATGAACTCCACTTGAGTTTGGCCCCAGAGGAGTAGCAGAGGTGAGGCTCAAAGCCCAGGTGTATTTGAACCAGAACTTGGTTCCTTCTCCACTCTCTGCAGTAGTAGAGAACAAGAGGACTTAACAGAAAGGAGCAGCTGCCTCCTGCCCTGATCGGCTGGGGAGGGAAAGAGTTGGAAGACAACAGGCATTTTCTGGCCAAATGAGTGCGGCCTCCTTCCTGGCCTATTTGTGCAGAGTTTGATGTCTTTGGGTTGGTTTAGCCTTTGCTGTTTCCATAACATTCTCTTGGCAAGGTTCGTACAGCATGGTGCCTGCCGCTGCTGCTGGGGTCCCGGTTTGTGATCCATCAAGCACTGGCTGAGTGCCTGCCTCCTGGGTGCAGGTGCATACAGATGGTATATATGCCCGGGAGGCCTTGAGGAGACTGGTGTCCACTGGGTATAGGAGAAAAGCCGGCGAACATAGGAGGAGTGAGTGCATAGAGGTGGCAGCATCCAGGAGGGAGTGATTAACAGGAAGTGGACTGGCCTCGGGCTTAGGGAGCTGATAAAACCGCCACACACGCAGAGAGCAATCAAGTGCTGCCCTGCAGGACTGCAGCCGGCTCGGGCCCTGCAGGGTAGGCCAGCCAGAGTGGTTCAGGAGGGCTCCAGAGGAGGCAGGCCTTGGGCACGGAGCAACAGATGGGCTCTCACCGAAGCTTGCTGGGAGCCGGGCACTGTGCTCAGTGTGTCGTTTCGTTACTTCACAGCCACCCGTGAGCGTGTTATCACTAAGGTCGTCACTTGGGAGGTGAAGAAACGACTTGCTGAGGAGGGGGCGGCTAGTGAGCAGCAGCCCTGGCACACGCCCCGCCTCTGAGAGCGCCCCTCCGCCTTGCCTGCCTGCAGCTGGGAGCAGAGGCACAGGCAGTGGAGTAGAGGTGTGCAGAGTGCACGGGCGGCGGAGAGAGGCCAGGGAGGGACTGCTAGGCGGGGGTGGGGGTGCTGTGTGAGTCGGATCCGGGGCGGGTGGTGGTGGGAGACGTGTTGAATGAGAAATAGGAGAAGCTGTACCGCCAGGTGGGAGGAATCAAAGATGACTCCTCAGGTTCCCAGCCTTCATCGTGATGTGCTCCTTCCTTCCTGCCTGCCTGCCTCCCTCTCTCCCCCCTCCCTTTCCCCTCCCCTCCCCTCCCCTCCCCTCCTCTTTCTCTCCCCTCTCCTCCCCTCCCCTCCCCTCCCTTTCAGTGCTTAGACAGTTAATGGATGCGGTTTTAATTTTTTTTTTTTTTTATTTTTTTGACAGGCAGAGTGGACAGTGAGAGAGAGAGACAGAGAGAAAGGTCTTCCTTTGCTGTTGGTTCACCCTCCAATGGCCGCTGCGGCCAGCGCGCTGCGGCCGGCGCACCGCGCTGATCTGATGGCAGGAGCCAGGTGCTTCTCCTGGTCTCCCATGGGGTGCAGGGCCCAAGGACTTGGGCCATCCTCCACTGCACTCCCTGGCCACAGCAGAGAGCTGGCCTGGAAGAGGGGCAACCGGGACAGAATCCGGCACCCCGACCGGGACTAGAACCCGGTGTGCCGGCACCGCAAGGCGGAGGATTAGCCTAGTGAGCCGCAGCGCCAGCAGGATGCGGTTTTAGAACCTGGGCAGGGAAGCCTGCCTTGTAGTTAGTGGTTTGAAGCCCCCAGGTGACCCCAGTGTACACACATGGTTGGGAACTGCTGATACAGGCTGCTGCTTTTTTTTTTTTTTTTTTTTAAGATTTTATTTATTTGAAAGGCAGAGCTACAGACAGAGAGACAGAGAGGGAGATAGAAAGAAAGGTCCTCCATCCGCTGGTTCACTCCCCAAATGGCCACAATGGCTGGAGCTGAGATGATATGGAACCAGGAACTTCCTCCAGGGCTCCCACACGGGTACAGGAGCCCAAGGACCTGAGCCATCTTCCACTGCTTTCCCAGGCCATAACAGAGAGCTGGATCGGAAGTGGAGCAGCCGGGACCTGAAAATGGCGCCCATATGGGATGCTGGCACCGTGGGCGGAGGCTTAGCCTACTATGCCTCAGCGCCGGCCCTCTAGGCTTCTTTTTAAATCTTCGCTGGTGATTTTTACTGTGTGGGCGGGATTGAGAGTGGTTCCTCTAAGGGTTCTCAGGGTCACCTGGCGGCCTTGTTGAAGCTCAGATGCAGGCTCCACCCCAGAGTTTCTGATTCAGTAGATCGGGGGCAGGGAGCTGAGTATTTGCCTTTCTGATCAGTTCCCAGAGGTTGCTGGAGCTGCTGGTCTGGGGACCACGTTGAGGGAACCACTGCTTTAACAGAACCAGGGTTTCTCTGATTTCAGTGGGAGGAATGAGATTTAAGAATGGTAGGGGTTGGATGCTTATTAAAGAAAGACAGAGTGGGGGCCGGTGCTATGGCGTAGCAAGTAAAGCTGCCGCCTGTAGTACTGGCATCCCATATGGGCGCCAGTTTGAGTCCCGGCTGCTCCACTTCTGATCCAGCGCCCTGCTATGGCCTGGGAAAGCAGTAGAAGGTGGCCTAAGTGCTTGGGCCCCTGCACCACTGTCTGAGACCCAGAAGAAGCTCCTGGCTTCAGATTGGCCCAGCTCCAGCCATTTGGGGAGTAAACTAGCAGATGGAAGACCTCTTTCTCCCTCTCTGCCTCCGTCTCTCTGTAACTTTGCCTTTGAAACAAATAAAATCTTCCAAAAAAAAGAAAGAAAAGTTAAAACTGCTTAAGAAAGAGGTCAAAGGTGATCCAAGTAAATGGAGAGACACGTCGTGTTCATGGATTAGGAGCTATGAGCATCAGTGCTCTCCACTCTGATAGATTTGATGTACTTTCTACCAAAATCCCGGACATGAATTTTTTATAGACATAAGCAGGCTTATTCTAATTATATGGAAACATTAGTAACCTAAAATAACTAGAACAATTTTGAAAAAGAGTAACATTGGAGGAATCAACTCACCCAACATTAAGACCAACTGTACTTGCATAGTTAATGAAGATATCTGTACTGTTGGCAGATTGACAGACGTACAGATCAATGGAGCAGGATAGAGACCCCCAGAAGTAGACTCACACAAGTAAACACAACTGGTTTTTTTTTACAAAGGTACAAAAAGGATAGAATGGAGGAAAGATAGCCTTTGAACAAATGGTGCTGGAACTATTGGATAATAATAAAAAACTTAACCTCATACCATATATAAAAATTGACTGAAAACGAATCATAGACTTAATTATAAAATCTAAAATGGTTGTCAGAGTTTTGCATGGCAGGAAGCCTTTGCCCATATGGGTGTCTGTTTTTGGAGACCTGGCAGCTCCACTTTTGATCCAGCTCCCTGCTTGTGTGCCTGGGAAAGCAACAGAAGATGGCCCAAGTGCTTGGGCTCCTGCACCCATGTGGGAGACCCAGAAGAAGCTCCTGACTTCAGCCTGGCCCAGCCCTGGCTGTTGCAGCCATTAGGGGAATGAACCAACAAATAGGAGATCTCTCTTTCTCTCTCCTCTCTATAACATTGCCTTACAAATAAATACTTTTTTTAAAAAATAAAATTATCAAGCTTTTATTATTTTGTTTGAAAGACAAATCTTTGGCTGATTCACTCCCCCAAATGTCTGCAGCAGCCAGGGCTGCGCCAGTCTAAAGCCAGGAGCCCAGAACTCAATCTGGGTCTCTCGCAGGGGTGGCAGAGACTGAAGTTCTTGGACCACTACCTGCTGCTTTCCAGAGTGCACATCTGTAGGAAGCTGTATTGGAAGTGGAGCTGGGATGCACACAAAACTAGACACTCTAACATAGGATGCAGGTGTCCCTGGCTGTGACCTCAACTGCTGCACCAAACACTGCACCAAGCCTCTTGTAGTCTTGCCAATAAATAAAAAATTAAAATTTAAAGAGTTTGAGGGGCAGATGTTTAGTGCAGTGGTTAAGCTGCTGCTTGGTATGCCCAAATTCCCCATCAGAATACCTGGCCTAGAGTCCTGGCTCCACTCCTCATTCCAGCTTCCTGCTAATGTACAGCCTAGGAGGCAGTAAATGATGGTTCGAATAGTCAGGTCCCTTCCACTTATGTGGGAGACTTTGATTGAGTTCCAGACTCTTGGACTTGAGGAGTGAACCAGTGGATAGGAGGTTAGTCTCTGTCTCTTTCAAATTAAAAAAAAAAAAAAAAAAGAGAGAATTTGGACCTAATTAAAATTAAGTTTTTGTCTTGTAAAAAAGAGTAAATAACCACATATTAAAAAAAGGCATACATCTAAAATATACTCTTAAAACTCAACAATAAAAACTTTTTAAAAAGACTTACTTTAGGCCGGCGCCGTGGCTCACTAGGCTGATCCTCTGCCTTGCAGTGCCGGCACACCGGGTTCTAGTCCCGGTCGGGGCGCCGGATTCTGTCCCGGTTGCCCCTCTTCCAAGCCAGCTCTCTGCTGTGGCCAGGGAGTGCAGTGGAGGATGGCCGAAGTACTTGGGCCCTGCACCCGCATGGGAGACCAGGAGAAGCACCTGGCTCCTGGCTTTGGATCAGCGTGGTGCGCCGGCTGCAGGGCACTGGCCGCAGCGGCCATTGGAGGATGAACCAATGGCAAAGGAAGACCTTTCTCTCTGTCTCTCTCACTGTCCACTCTGCCTGTCAGGAAACAAACAAACAAAAAAAAAAAACAACTTACTTTATTTATTTGAAAGGCAGAGTTATATAGAGAGGAAGAGACAGAGAGAGAGAGGGAGGTCTTCCATCCGCTGGTTCTCTCCTCAGATGACTGCAATGGCTGGGACTGGATCAGGCTGAAGCCAGGAGCCCGGAGCTTCTTCCAGGTCTCCTATGTGGGTGCAGGGGCCTGGGCACTCGGGCCATCCTCTGCTGCTTTCCTAGTGTATTAGCAAGGAACTGGATCAGAGGTGGAGAAGCTGGGACTTGAACCCCAGCGCCTATATGGCACCACTACCCATAGCACTGGCTCCATAAAACTATTTTTTTTAAACTTCAGACTTTTTTGTAAGATTGATTTTATTTATTTATTTATTTATTTTGACAGGCAGAGTGGACAGTGAGAGAGAGAGACAGAGAGAAAGGTCTTCCTTTTGCCATTGGTTCACCCTCCAGTGGCCGCCGCGGCTGGCGCTCTGCGGCCGGCGCATTGCGCTGATCTGAAGCCAGGAGCCAGGTGCTTCTCCTGGTCTCCCATGCGGGTGCAGAGCCCAAGGACTTGGGCCGTCCTCCACTGCACTCCCGGACCATAGCAGAGAGCTGGCCTGGAAGAGGGGCAACCGGGACAGAATCCAGCGCCCCGACCAGGACTAGAACCCGGTGTGCCGGCGCCGCTAGGCGGAGGATTAGCCTAGTGAGCCGCGGCGCCGGCCTCAAAACTATTTTTTTTAAAGATTTGTTTATTTATTTGAAAGTCAGAGTTACACAGAGAGAGGGAGAGGGAGAGAGGGAGAGAGAGAGAGAGAGAGAGAGATCTTCCATCCACAGGTTCACTCCCCAATTGGCCGTAATGGCCGGAGCTGCACTGATCCAAAGCCAGGAACCAGGAGCTTTTTCCAGGTCTCCCACACAGGTGCAGGGGCCCAAGGACTTGGGCCATCTTCTACTGCTTTCCCAGGCCATAGCAGAGAGCTGGATCGGAAGTGGAGCAGCCGGGTCTCAAACCAGCGCCCCTATGGGATGCTGGTGCTTCTGGCCTGGGCATTAAGCTGCTGCGCCACAGTGCTGACCCCTCCATAAAACTATTTTTACAACAACTTGGATGGCTCTCAGGGAAATGATGCTGCGTGAAGAAAAAGCCGATCACAAGGCTACATCGTGTATGATTCTGTGTACGTTATCCTAAAATAACCATGGAGGTGAAGAATGAGAGGATGGGAAGGGTAACACGAGGAAGACGGTCATAATGGATGCGTTCTGTATCTTGATTGTGGTGGCGTGTGTGTGATAAAATGGCGTGAACTGTGTGGGGTCACGTACACACTGGTGAGATCTGAATCAGCTCTGTGGATTGTTTCCTGGTTGTGACATTGTACTACGGTGCAGTACACCTTGCAGTACCAGGTGTCACCATTATGGTAAATCAGGTGAAGAGTACATGGGCCCTCCTTGAGTGATTTTAGAACATTTTTTTGCAATTTCCTGAATATTTGTTTACAAAGCTAAAAAAAATTGCAAATCATGGGAAACGCTGTCAGGAAAACCCATAATGAGCCGAGATGGAGAATGAAAGGAAGACCTTTTGGCAGGTTGGCCTGGGCCCCTCTGGAGAAGTGAGCTTTGAGCTGAGAGTGGAAGGAGGATGAGGACTGGGGAGGAACCTTTTAGCCTGGCTCCCTCCCAGCAGAAAACTCCCCCAAGAGGAGCTGCCTGGCCAGAAATGTTCAGAGCATCTGACTGAGCTGCTGTTTGGAAGGAATACTTTGCTTTTCTTCTGTTCCCCTTTCTACTTAACTTGCTGATTGTTTCTCTTCCCTCTTCTTCTGCCATCAGCCTGGACAAACTGCTTGATGCTGGTCTCTATACTGGAGAAGTAACTGAAATCGTAGGAGCCCCAGGTAGCGGCAAAACCCAGGTACACATGAGGCCTGCGGCCTGGAGGATTGGGGATGCTGGATCCGAAGCCCTGGATCCCTGGGGGCCTCTGCCAGACTCATGGGTTGGGAGCTCAGAAGAGAAAGGATGAGTGAGGAGAAGTAGGGCTTGGACTTGGCCCCTTTGTGTCACTGGAATCTGGACAAGGTTTGGTGGGGAGCTCCCGTCTTGGGCCCTCTGTGAGCACTCAAGTTCACCTGATCCTCTGTCCTTTATTCAGGTATGTCTTTGTGTGACTGCCCATGTGGCCCATGGCCTCCAGCAGAACGTCTTGTACATTGATTCCAATGGAGGGCTGACAGCCTCGCGCCTCCTCCAGCTGCTACAGGCTAGAACCCAGGATGAGGAGGAACAGGTGAGGGGCAGGACAGCTGGGTTTCTTCAAGATTCTGGCAGAAGAAGACTCCATTATCCCCCTATACCACGAGGCTTCTGGCTGTTTGGGTGAATGGTCATTTCTTGTTTTGAGACTTGCTGTTCTAGAAACACTTCCTGTATTCCTGAGGCCTCCCCTGTTAATGCCATCATCCCAGCTTGGGTGCCACCCACACCATCCCTTCCAGGAAACACTTCCAACTCCTTGTGTATCAGGGCTGGCAAACACCCAGCATCTTGTTTCCAGCCCATTTCTTGTCCATGGCAGGCATCACTAGTCAATTGTATCACTGTCCCAGTGGGTTCTGAGTGCTTTACAGCTCAGCACCCAAGCGGCCACTGCTGTGAGAATTGGTCCATTAGACAAAGCCCATTTGCCAGCTTCGACTCAAGTCCTTGCTTCTTCCCCTTCTCAGCCTTGTAATCCACCACCCCCTCGCCTTCCTTGAGCCCCTGCTCCTTCTTACTCAAAGTCCCTGCTTCTCTCCCCACTCCTCAGGCAGCAGCTCTGCAGAGGATCCAGGTGGCGCGTGCGTTCGACATCTTCCAGATGCTGGATGTGCTGCAGGACTTCCGAGGCACTGTGGCCCAGCAGGTGAGCCTGCTGTTGTGGTCCTCCCTGCTCTACCCAGCTTGCCACGGGCTCTCTGCGTGTGGGCAGGTGTTGCAGGAATGCAGATGTGCTTGCCGGAAACAACCCCTTGAACACAAGGATTTTGTTCTGTTCACATATGCACCCCCCACTAGATCAGTTAGGAATACTTTGAACTGCAAATAAGAGTGACTGACGGAGACTTGAACTTCAAGGACATTTAGTTATCTCATATGAGCCTGGGGATTGCCGTTGCTTAGTATCAGAGCACTGAATTTTTGTTTCTGATTCTCTTGTTCTGCCCTTCATGATGTAAAGTGGCTGCTTTAGTTCTAAGCGTCTTGTCGTCACACAGCCACACCATATTCAGAGCAGCTGATGGATGGTTCTTTTCTGTACTTCGCTTTTATCAGGGAATAAAATCTTTCTCTAGATCCCACTAGTAGGCTTCCTTCTTCCCCATACATCTAGTTGGCCAAAATTGAGTGGGATATGTTTCTTGAACCAGGAATTGGGCCCGCCTTCCCTGAAAGTCATACTTCTGACCAGTACCTGAACACGTTCAGAGTCCCGTTAGCAAGGAAAGGTGAGGTCTGAGTGACATTTGAGTTGGTGCCCTGCTTTACTTGCTTATGTAAGATTTGGGTTTCTTATTCATGACTGTTAGATCTAGAAGACACTTTGATACAATCATTTGGTTCATCTCAAACTTTTTCTCTTGCTGGAAAGCGTGAAATGTTCCCATGGGTATTTCCAGGTTTGTCTATAAAAGTATATGCTTTTTACAAACTTTAGAACATATTATAATTGAATACTTGCTTTAGGACTTATAGCTGATTATGGCCTACCAGTGTGTTGAGACATGAAGTCTAGTAGTCAGCACTAACCAACTCAAATTTTTTTTTCTTTTTAAAAAATATATATTTATTTGAGAGGCAGAATTAGACAGTGAAAGGGAGAGACAGAAAGGTCTTCCATCTACTGGTTCACTCTCAATGGCCACAACAGCTGGGGCTGGGCCAATCTGAAGCCAGGAGCCAGGAGCTTCTTCCAGGTCTTCCCTGTAGGTACAGGGGCTACTGCTTTCCCAGGCCATAGCAGAGAGCTGGGTTGGAAGAGGAGCAGCTAGGACATGAGCCAACACTCTATGGGATGCTGGTGCCACAGGTGGAGGCTTAACCTACCATGCCACAGTGCGGGCTCCTAATTTTTTTCTTTTTTAATATTTTTTATTTTATTTGAAAGGCAAAGTTACAAAGAGAAAGAGCGATCTTCTGTCTCCTGGTTCACTCCCCAAATGGCTGCAAGAGCAAGGGTTAGGCCAGGCTCAAGCCAGGAACCTAGAATTCCATCCAGGTCTCCCATGTGGGTGGCAGGGACCAAAGTATTTGGGCCATCCTTAGCTGCTTTCCCAGGTGCATTAGCAGGGAGCTGGATCGGAAGTGGAGCAACTGAGACTTGAACCAGCTCATATGGGATGCCTGTGTTGGAGGCTGCAGCTTAGCCCACTATACCAGCACATCGGCCACTTAACTCTCATTTAAAAAAATGATTTATTTATTTGAAAAGTAGCATGAGAGAGATTTTCCATCCCCTGGTTCATTTCTGAACTGCTCATAGCAACTGGGGCTGGGCCAGGTCAAAGCCAGAAGCCTGGCGCTCCATCCACATCCCATGTCGGTGGCAGGAACCCAAGGCCATCATTTGTTGCCTCCAAGATGCATTAGCAGGGAGCTGGATTTTAAGCAGAGGTGGGACTCCTCAGATCCCAGGCATTCCAGTATGGGATACAGGCATCCAAAGCAGCTACAATGTCTACCCCAGAAACTCTCATTTTTGTTTTACTTACTTATTTGAAAGTGCAACTGACAGATATCTCCCATCTATTGGTTCACTCTCCAAATGACCATAACAGCTGGAGCTGGGCCACACCAAAGCTAGAATCAGGAACTCCATCCAGGTTTCTCACGGGGGTAGCAAGGACCCACGTACTTGAGGCATCCCCTGGTGCCACCTGTGATGCACGTCATCAGGAAATGGGTAGGGAGGTAGGGACCAGAGCCAGGATTTGAATCCTGGGACTCTTGTAGGATGCTGGCGTCCACAGTGGTATTTTAAGTGCTGTACCAGACACTTGCTTCAACCCTCTTGGTTTTACAGATGAAGAGAGTAAAGACCATAGAAGTTTCCCAAAGTTATCATGCATTTAGGACAAGAACTAACCTATGAACCAAATCCTTCAATGCCACGTCACAACACTATATTTCTTTACTGTAAGGCAACTAAGTGGTATATATTCTTCTGCTGCACAACAAGTTACCACACACTTAATGACTTAGCACATTTATTATCAAAAATCTAGGTATCCTAAGCTGGATCCTCTGCTTGGGGTCTCATAGAGTTGTGATCAAGGTTAGACTGGACTGTGTCCTCCCTGGAGGCTTACAGGTTGGCTCAGGTTGCTGGCAGAGTGCACTTCCTGGTGGTCTCAGCTTCTTGCTAGCATTGGCTAGAGGCTGCATTCAGCTCCTAGAGGCTGCCCATTGTTCCTGCCATGAGACCCTTGCCACAGGGAGCCAGTAGTAGCATGGCCACTGCTTCCTCAACATGGGAGGAGAGTGGGAGCAAATAGAAACCCCGAGTCTTTTATGATGATTAAACCACATCCCAGTTACTTTGCAGTGTCATGCACCTGATCAAGAGTGACATTCCACTCTGAAGCCTTATTGATAATAATGGACAAGCTGTGGTGGCTTTCCACACCTAATGTTCTCAGCTTCACTCTTACATGGGTAGGTTTCCCTTTGCCTGAATACTTCATAAATAAGTAATCATTTTACCAGTATTGGTGAGCATTCTCTCTATGTTATTGTTTAGTCACTAAGAAAGTCTCTAAGACTTTGAGAACTTACTATACACTAACATGGTCTAATTTGCTTCTCATGGGAACCCTGGGAGGCAGGTACTATGATTTCCCCCATTTTGTCCTTCAGAAAACAGAATTGGAAAAGGTAGCATAACTCCCTCAAGATCTCACAGGGATATAGAGAGCTGGGGCTCAAAGCAGGTGGTTTGGCTCCAGAGTGTGTGCACTTGACCATGACCCAGCCTGCTAGCACCCCCACCAGCATGTAGTGAGACTGCACAGGCACTGGGAAGAGCAAGACATTCCTGCTGCCTTCAGAGGAGCCGAGCAAGGTGAAGGCGGAAGTCTGTGCTATAACAGAACGCACTGTGCCAAGTCCATGACACAAGCAGAACAGAAGAGGGCTTCACATGTCCGAGAAAGAGGGAAAAGAGTCGTCAATTCCGGGTGGGGAACTGTTTCATCTTTCAGTCTCACCTGGCTGAAATGAATTACTGTACATTAAAGTAGTGGCTCAGATTTTGCAAACTAGGAAAAAATACTTCTCTCTGTCTCTGTCTCCTCTCTTTCTATCACACACACACAATGGTTGTACGACTTCAAATAAAATTTGAAAGCCTATTTGAAAAAATAAAAAAGAGTGACATTCCAGCACCACTGATGTCATATTGGTCAGAAACAAGTCACACGTTTCCCCCGCACTCAAGGGGAAGAGATTATATAAAGGCCTGAATACTTGATGGTGGGGCTGTGGAGTCCACTCTCAGGTCTGTCAGCCACAGATGACCTGATGGCTTCATGGTCGCAGCAAAAGGCTTGCTGTGCCACTTAGCCAGAGTTCAACCTGCTGTCCCAGAGGGGTCGGGGATGCTGAGCCGATTTCAACTTGAGCTTTTTTCTCCCATCTGCTCTTAGACACACTAGTTACTGAGACTCAGTAGCTGGAAGGTGAAGGGAGACTTGCTGAGTATCCAGTACCTGGTCAAGGGGAAATGGGAGAAATGTGGTAGAAGCAGAATCACAATATAAAAAGAGAGAAGAGAAAGGAAAAATGAAAGCCAGTTCAGGCCCAGAGAAACTAGGAAGGTGCCAATGTTTGGGCAGAGACAGAAATTAGGACTTTGGGTGGGTGTTTAGCCTAGTGGCTAAGATGCTTATATTGCAGTACTCTGGTTCCTGAGTCCAGCTTCCTGCTAATTTGGACCTTGGGAGGCAGCAGGCAAGGGCCCAGTTAATTGGATCCCTGCTCCCCCCTCTTACCGCCATGTGGGAGACCTGGATTGAGGTCCTGGCTTTAGCTGGCCCAGTGCCAGCTGTTGTGGGCATTTGCGGGGGTGAACCAGGAGATGAGGTTTTTCTCCCTCTCTCTTACATCCTCTCATCTTTCTGCCTCTCAAATAAATAAAAAACAAACTAACAAAAGTCTGGTTTGAAAGATGACGTCTTATCTCAGAGAAAGAGCGGTGTTTATTTGGGACCACGTTAGCAATGGGAGGTTGGGCACTGGAGGCATGCTCTAGGAAGAGACGGAGAAGTGCAGAGAAGGCTCAGCTCTTCAGCAGAGGAAGCTGGGAGTTTGGGGGCAGTAGAAAGCAGGAGAGGGAGGAAGGGGTATGGGATTCAAGAAAGCAGGGGTGGGCATTGGGTACAATGGTGAAGTTATCCCGTGGACCCCCACAGCCCATATTGGAGGGCCTGGTTCAAGTCTTGGGTCTTCTGCTGCTTCTTTCGTTTTATTTCTGTCTATTCTTCGGATAGGCAGAGTGGATAGTGAGAGAGAGAGACAGAGACAAAGGTCTTCCTTTTGCCATTGGTTCACCCTCCAATGGCCGCCACGGCTGGCGCACTGTGGCTGGCGCACCGCGCTGATCCGAAGGCAGGAGCCAGGTGCTTCTCCTGGTCTCCCATGCGGGTGCAGGGCCCAAGCACTTGGGCCATCCTCCACTGCCTTCCCGGGCCACAGCAGAGAGCTGGCTTGGAAGAGGGGCAACCAGGAAAGAATCCGGCGCCCCGACCAGGACTAGAACCCAGTGTGCCGGCGCCGCTAGGTGGAGGATTAGCCTATTGAGCCGCGGCGCCGGCCGGGTCTTCTGCTTCTGATCCAGCTTCCTGCTTGTGTACACCATGCCAGATAGCATCGATGGCTCAATAGTTTGGTCCTTGTGACCCACATGGAAGACCCAGCTGGAGTTCCAGGCTCTTGGCTTCAGCCTGGCCCAGCCCTGGCTGTGGTAGGCATTTGGGGGATAAACCAGTAGAAGAAAGATCTCTTCTAGTCTCTCTCTCTCTCCCTCTCCCCCTCTGCATTTCAAGTAAGTGAAAATAAATAAATAAAAATTTAAAAAGAAAAGAAGAAATAGGAGAGGGGCCTAGCAAGATGAGGAGAGACTGATATGAGAAAAATGGCCACAGGACCCTGAATGGAAATTTCTAAAACTTGATCATTTCAGTGTACTTGTGATCTTGTGATTTAAATTTTATTTATTTTTATTTAGTTGAAAGGCAAGCAGGAGGCCAGCGCCATGGTTCACTTGGCTTATCCTGTGCCTGTGGCACCGGCACCCCGGGTTCTAGTCCGGGTTGGGCTGCCAGGTACTAGTCCTGGTTGCTCCTCTTCCAGTCCAGCTCTCTGCTGTGGTCCGAGAGGGCAGAGGAGGATGGCCCAAGTGCTTGGGTCCCTGCATCTGCTTGAGAGACCAGGAGGAAGTACCTGGCTCCTGGCTTCGGATCGGCACAGTGCACCGGCCGTAGCAGCCATTAGGGGAATGAACCAACGGAAGGAAGACCTTTCTCCCTCTCTCTCTCACTGTCTATAACTCTCTCTGTCTCTCTCTCTCTCTCACTGTCTAACTCTGCCTAGCCAAAAAAAAAAAAAAAAAAAAGCAGGGAGGAAGAGGAGATCGCCTTCTTGTACACTCCCCAAATGCCCACAGCAGCTAGGACTGGGCCAGGCCAAAGCTGGGAAGCAGGAACTGCATCTATGTCTCCCATGTGGGTGGTAGGACCCAAGTACTTAAGCCGTCATTTGTTGTCTCCCATGATGCACATTAGGAGGAAGCTGGGTTGGAAGCTGAGCCAGGACTTTTTGCTGGCCCTCCAGTATGGGGTGCTGGTGTCCTAAGTGGTGGCCTAACTCACTGCATCACAGCACCTGCCCCATCCTGAGATTTTAACCCTCTCTCTACCTGAGTTTTCAGTAGTCTTATTCATGCCAATGGTGGGGTTGCTGAATTTCCGCAGTACCCTTGCAGCTGTGTTTGGACTGGGGAGGTTATTTCTTACTAATTTTTGATGGAGAAGCAAGCTTGTCCTGCAGTCGGTGCCCCTAGACACCACTGGCTTATGGCAGCTACTTCTGCAGTCTCTCCAGGTGACGGGTTCTTCAGGGACTGTGAAGGTAGTCGTCGTGGACTCGGTGACTGCGGTGGTCTCCCCACTTCTGGGAGGTCAGCAGAGGGAAGGTGAGTGATGTGGCAGAGCCTGGGACCAGGGATATGACCTTGCTCTGGAGGGCGGGGTGTGGCCTGCCCGGTCCCCAGCCTCCTGCTGCCCTCCCTCTCTGTTCTCCCCCAGGCTTGGCCTTGATGATGCAGCTGGCCCGAGAGCTGAAGACCCTGGCCCGGGACCTTGGCCTGGCGGTGGTGGTAAGGAAACAGGCTTGGCCAATGAACTTGATTTCTAGTCATAGCTTGCTCTTTATTTCTTGTAATTCTGTAAATGGTGGCTTCTGAATCCCAAAAAGTTGCCCTTTAGGGAAGGGACATAGCCCAGCTTCCCAGAATCAGTGCAGTTCTGCCCTGGGAGGGAGCCGGACTGTAAATAGCCCAGGGGATCAGAGATGCCCCCCCCCTTTTTTTTTTAAAGATTTATGTATGTATTTGAAAGGCAGAGTTACAGAGATCAGAGGCAGAGAGAGAGAGAGAGAGATGTCTTCCATCCTTTGGTTCAATCCCCAATTGGCCGCAACGGCCGGAGCTGGGCCAGGCCAAAGCCAGGAGCCCAAAACTTCATCCAGGTATCCCATGTGGTGCAGGGCCCCAGGTAATTAGAACATCCTCTGCTGCTTTCCCAGGTACATTAGCAGGGAGCCGGATTGGCTGCACAGCAGCTGGGACCACCATTCTACTTCCTATGTATGATTTTGGTTACTCTGAGTATCTCATACACAGGGAATCGTATGATATTTGCCTTTCTATGACGAGCGTATTTCACTTACAGTAATAGTCTCAGTTTTGTTTATCCACGTTGTAGCATGTCAGAATTTTCTTTTAAAAAAATTATTTATTTGAAAGGCAGAGTTAGAGAGAGGGAGGGAGGAGAGAAAGAGAGAGAGAATGGAGAGATACACAGAGAGAGATCTTCTATCCTCTGATTCACTCCCCAAATGACTGCAACAGCCAGGGCTGGGCAAGGCCAAAGCTAGGAGCCAGGAGCTTCTTCCCGGTATCCCACATGGGTGCAGGGGCCCAAGGACTTGGCCATCCTCTGCTGCCTTCCCAGGCCATAGCAGAGAGCTGGATTGGAAGTGGAATAGCTGGGACTCAAAATGATGCCTATACGGCTGAGGCTTTAACCAGCTGTGCCACAGTGCCGGCCCAGTTTCCTTCCTTTCTGAGGCTGGGTATTCTATTGTATCCCACGTTTTGCTTTTTCATTCATCCATTGATGGACACTTGGTTTGTTTCCACCTTTTGGCTGTGGTGAATAATGCTGCCGTGAACGTGGGGGTACAAATGTTTCTTTGTGCTCTTTCAGTTCTTTCTCTGTATACTCAGAAGGGAAGTTAGTAGATGGGTGTGGTAATTCTATTTTTAATTTTCTGAGGAGCTGCCAGTTTCCATAGCGAGTATAAAGCTACATGTTATTAATGCTTATATCAGAGTGATTGGCACACTTTTTCAAAAAGATTTTTTATTCATTTGAGAGGTAGAGTTAGGGAGAGAGAGAGAAAAATGTCTTCCATCCACTGGTTCATTCCCCAAACGCCTGCAACAGCTGGAGCTGGACTGATCTGAAGCTAGGAGCTTCTTCCAGGATTCCCACACAGGTATAGGGGCCGAAGCACTTGAGCCATCTTCCACTGCTTTCCCAGGCTATAAGCAGAGAGCTGGATCAGAAGAGAAGCAGCCCAGGACACAGTCAGTGCCCATATGGGATGCCGGCACCACAGGTGGAGGCTTATAAGGCCTACTATGCAACAGTGCTAGCTCTGGGATTGGCAGACTTTTTAAAAAAGATTTACTTATTTGAGAGCAGGATGGAGAGAGAGAGAAAGCGATATTGAGCGATCAGTCTTCTATCTGCTGATTCACTCTCCAAATGGCTGCGATGGCAACGGCTGGTCCAGGCTGAAGCAGGGAGCCTGGAACCCCATCAGGTCTCCCAAGTACTTGGGCCACCATCGAAATGCTTTCCCAGTCACATTAGCAGAGAACTGGATTGGAAGCAGAGCAGTTGTGACTCCAACAGCACTCTGATATAGAATGCCAGTGTTGTGAACAGCAGCTTAACCTTCTGTGCCACGAAGCTGGCCCCAGCGAGCTTTTTCTGCAAAAGCCCACATAGTAAATATTTGAGGACCATAAAATAAATATTTGCAAGAATTTGGTCTGTGTTTCATCTATACAGCTCTACCAATATACCGTAAAAGCAGCCAGGGCAGTACATAAACAAATGGGCATGGCTATGTTCCACTACAATTTGATTTATACTAATGATTTTGGGGATGAATTTGGCTTGTGGGCTACAGTTTGCCAACCCCTGCTGTATCATAGTGATCTGTATGCTGTGCCATTCCCAGTTCCTGATCATTTGGCCTTCAGGTCATTACTGGTTATCCTTTGTTATAAATAAAACTGTGGTAACATCAAAGTCTCTTAGAACATCTCATATGTCCTCAAAATAAACCCCAAATATATGATTGCTGAGTTGGAGATATATGTATATAAAACTTTATTATCTATTTGAAAGGCAGAGAGAGACAGATATCTTCCATCTACTTGTTAACTCCTCAAATGCCTGCCAACAGCTGAGGCTGGGTCAGGCTGAATCCAGGAACCATGAATTCATTCCAGGTCTCCCATGTGGGTGGTGGGGACCCAAGTACTTGAGCCATCACCTGCTAACTCTCAGGGTACACATTAGCAGGAAGCTGCAGTGGAGAGAGGAACCAAGACTCAAACTCATACACTCCAGTGTGGAATGTGAGCGTCCCAACCCAAGTGGTGTCGTAATTGCTTTGCCAAATGCCTGCCCTAATACGTGATTTTAAAATGTCTGCATGTGACACTGCTGAACTTCCAGGAAGTTTCTGCTCATTTATGTACCTACCAGCAGTGTGAATCTGTTTCCCCATTCTTTTGCTTTAATACAAGGTCCCAGGGCGTCCCTTTCCTGGCTTTTGGATGTGTGTGGGTACCTGTCAGGTGCCAGGCTCTGGCTTAGGCAGTGGGTGTGGTGGAATGAGGTGAAAAGGTCATGCCAAGATGGCCACTGACAACAGAAACTGCCTGGCAACAGGCAGTGATTGGATGGCTTTGGAAACCACATGACAACAGAGGAAACCACATGACAACAGAGCCTGACTGATGGCAGGCCGTGATTGGATGGTTTCAGAAACTGCCTGGCAACAAGAGCCTGATTGGCAACAGGCTGTGATTGGATGGCTTTGGAAACTGCCTGGCAACAGGCTGTGATTGGTTGGGGCATAGACCGCCCCTTGACCAGATTGACTGGTCTTGACTATATAAGCTGTTGTACTAACTGAAATAAACGAGTCTGCAGGCTGCTTGCCTCAAGGCGGCTTTCACCCAACTCCTGGGGTCTGTGTGGTGACTCCACGCCTCTTGCCCCCACCACACTCCTCTCAGAAAAGAATCCACTGCAACATTGTTGAGAAATCAACTGCAACACATGGGGATTTTCAGTCATGAAAGAACCACATCCCTGCCCTCCAGGGCTCATCCAGAGAATGCCCCAAGCCTCAAGCTGTGTATCTCTATGACTGGTCTGGCTGGGCAGTGCCAACGGCCAGGGTAGGACCCCTTCCAAAACTCCCTGCAGCCCCATACAGAAAGCACTGGGTGGACATGGACTCCCAATGCCCATCTGTTGGGTTGGGTATTGTAGGCTCAAGCCCACCCCTGTCTTCCATTTAGGAAATAGCAGATGGCACTGCTCATTTCCAGGCATGTGCTCCCTCACCATTTGTTTGGGGTCAGGCCTGAGACCTCAGGGCTTAGTGGAAAGAGCTCAGCTCAGGTCGGGAGCCCTAGGTTCAGGTACGAGTCTTGAGGGAGTTATTTCTCTGCAGGCTCCCTCTGTTTTCTCATCTATAAAATGAAGCAGTAAGGACGATGTCCTCTATTCTAGTATTATGAACGTGTCTTTTTGTTTTTAAGATTTATTTATTTGAAAGCCAGAGTTACAGAGAGAGGAGGAGAAACAGAGATCTTCACTCCCTAAATGGCTGCAACGGCCAGGGCTGGGCCAGGCCAAAGCCAAGAGCTTCATCTGGGTCACCTATATGTATGCAGGGTCCCAGGGACTTGGGCCATCTTCTACTGCTTTCCCAGGCACATTAGCAGGGAGCTGGATTGGAAGTAGAGCAGCTGGGACTTGATCTGGTGCCCACATGGGATTCTGGCTCTACAGGCAGTGGTTTAACCCCCTACACCATGACACTAGCCCTTGGACATGTCTTTTTTCTTATGCTGCAGGTGACCAACCATGTGACCCGAGATAGGGACAGTGGGAAGCTTAAACCTGCTCTTGGACGTTCCTGGAGCTTTGTACCGAACACCCGGATTCTCCTGAGCACCACTGAGGAATCAGGAGCATCAGAAAGGAGCTGGTGCACGGCGTGTCTGACCAAATCCCCCCGTCAGGTGAGCCAGCCTCTGGGGCATGCCAGTAATTGACTGTGGATTCCCTGCCCGCAGGTGCCTTGTGGAAGAATTGTTTAGATGCTGAGACCCTGCAGCAAAAGGGACTACTTGCTTGCATTGCTTATTCAGCTTGCCCTTCCCTTTTCTCTCTTCTTCCAGCCAACGGGTGTCCAGGAGGTTATAGACATTGCGACCTGGGGGCCTCCAGAGCAGAACCCAGCATCCCAAGAAGAGCAGACGTGACTGTTGCAATGACTGGTGCTGTTGCTTGGGAAGTGGAGGGCATTGAGTCTCTCTCGAATTTTCCTTCCTAGTGAGACCTGCTGTTCACTGCCACTCACCTTCTGGGACTGCTGTGTTCTCAGGCTGGTGAGAGGAGAGAGGACAGCCTCACTCTGCAAGAAGTCACGGAGCCACAGGCCAGAGAGGAGGCTACAGTGGGAAGACCCGGAAGTTCAAGATTCAGATTCCTTCCCTTGTTCTGCGAGCACTGAGCTCACCCTGACTTGGGGCGTCTCTGAAGAGGCACGCTAATGACTGGCTGGGTCACCCTGAGTGTCACCATCTGATCCTGTGCTGCGTCCTAGCATGGTGACCGAGCCAGGAAGCCTGTGCTTGCCTTTGCTTCTGTCTCTTCTTTCTGTTGGGGGTGAGGGCCTCTGTGTGTGTATCTTAGCTCCCTTTCCCTTGGCTGTCTCTTGAGTTACTGGGAAAATAACCTCATGAATGCAAAACTCTCCTTTGTCTGTGTCCTTTTCTTAAAAATATAGAAAGAAAATTCCCTGAGCCCCCCCAATAAGGTTGTTTTTCAGGGAGGCCCCACAGAACGGTTATTCTTCCTCTCTCTTGCTGGTTTGGTTTCACACACCTGCATGTGTCACCATGACGAGGTAGTAGTGGGAGCTTGCAGCAGTCCCAGGGGCATAACTTAACAGGAAGGGAGGATAGGAACTGCTCCCGGTGAATCCAGTCCCTTGTTTAATATGCATGGTGCCCTGTGGGGCCCTTGCACAGGGTGGAGTGACCAGAGGTGTTGAACCGTGGCCTTGCCCATAAACAGACAGAGGAGAACACACACAGTAAATAGAGCCAGCTGGGAAAATTGATGCTGGTGTCAATCATACGTGGCAAATCTAGTCCTTTATGTAGAAATTCATTGCTGGTGGCTCCGAGATGCAATATAATTACAGCTCTTCCTGCCAGCTGTACCACAGCCTAGTGCCCAAGTGTATGAAATCACCCCCCAGTCTGTGATCAGCACTGTAGCCATCCATCTGAGAGCCATTACCTTGTCTGGGAGGGGAGATGACACCAGGGAGTGTAAAATAGAAGGCAAAGTAGGGAATTGGTCAGGATTGCTTACTGACCATATTTTTTACTTTTTTTTTGAAAGAGACACTGAAAGAGTTCCCATCACTGGTCCACTCCCTAAATGCCCACAACAGCTATAGCTGGGTCAGGCTGAAACTGGGAGCTGTGAATTCACTTCAGGTATCCCACGTGGGTGGCAGGGACCCAGCCCCCTGAGCCATCACTGGCTGCCTCCCGGGGTCTCCTTCCACAGGAAGCTGGAATCAGGAGTGGAGCGAGCTGAAAGTCGAACCCAGAGCTGGCTTACATGGGATGCAGATGTCCAAGTGGTGTCTTTATGGCTGAGCAGTGTCTGTACCAACTACATGTTTGTTTCATTTTATGTATTTATTGTTTTAAGATTTATTTATTTATTTGGAAGGCAGAGTTGCAGAGAAGCAGAGAGAGAAAGAGAGGTCTTCCATCAGCTGTTGGTTCACTCCCCAAAATGCCACAACAGCTGGAGCTGGGCTGATCAGGAGACAGGAGCCAGGAGCTTCTTCCAAGTCTCCCACATGGGTGCAGGGGTCCGAGGACTTGGCCATTTTCTAGTGCTTTCCCAGGCCATAGCAGAGAGCTGGGTTGGAAGTGGAGCAGCTGGAACTCGAACTGGCACCCATATGGGATGCTGGCACCACAGGCCGGGGCTTTAACCCACTGTGCCAAGCGTCGGCCTTGCTTCATCCTTTAGACTTTGCTCTGTCTTGCCTGCATGCTGGCTGCACGCTCCATGTGGCCACACTGCACTATGCAGTCCTCTGATAGGCCTCAGAGTGGCTCTTGGTCCCAGTGCTCTCTTTGTTTATGTGTCTGCCTCTGCCTGTCGCTCGCTGAGCCCACTGCACACTCTGACATTTTTCCTTCTTCCTGCCTCAACTGTTGGCTAGGTGGATGTTTATACCACACTGTGGACTTGCACCTTCATTCACATATCTGCCTGTTAGCCTGAGGTGCACTCCAAGGGCTTTTGTGTCCATTTCTTTCTCCACGTTATGGTAGTGATTATGAAGCACATGATATTGGATAGGTCTTTAAAAAATACTTCTTTGAGAGAGAGCTCCATTCGTTGGGTCAGTCCCCAAATATACACAACAACCCTGGGTGGGAGACTGAAGCCAGGAGCTGGAAACTGAATCCAAGTCTCCCATGTGGGTGGCAGTGACACAATTACTTGAGCCATCAATACTGTCTCCCAGGGTTTGCATCAGCAGGAAGCTGGAGTCAAGAAGATCCAGGACTTGAACCCAGGTACACTGATATGGCACAAGGGCTATTTAAACCTGTGTCTTAACCACCAGGCTAAGTAACTACCCCTTAATGCATTTTAAAGATGGCATAAGAAAGATGCAGGAATATTTTCCTGTTGACTTAGATAGTTAAGTCTCCAGTCTTTTTTTCACATCTTTCTACACGAGACTATTAGATGTCTTTCATTTGAAATGAGACAAAATGGGGGCCGGTGCCGTGGCTCACTTGGTTAATCCTCCACCTGCGGTGCCAGCATCCCATATGGGCACCGGGTTCTAGTCCTGGTTGCTCCTCTTCCAGTCCAGCTCTCTGCTGTGCCCCGGGAATGCAGTGGAGGATGGCCCAAGTGCTTGGGCCCTGCACCTGCATGGGAGACCAGGAGGAAGCACCCAGCTCCTGGCTTCAGATCAGCACAGCGCCGGCTGTGGCAGCCATTTGGGGAGTGAACCAACAGAGGGAAGACCTTTCTCTCTCTCTCTCTCACTAATTCTACCTGTAAAAAAAAAAGAAAAAGAAAAAGAAATGAGACAAAATGAATATTGAGTCACTACTGTGTGCTAGCACTCGGTGGCCTTCAAGTCAGATATTTGAACTCCCAGAGACTCAGGTAAAGGGCCGGGGTATCACGAAGGCTGCTTTCCCCTGCAAGAAACAAAATGCGGTGTGAAGAAGCATAAACAATACGGTCAGTTCGTTAATAACATGAAGTCCAGGTTGGTTAATTTAGTGGTCAGTCAAGAGGCGTAGGGCCTTTCCAGCTTTCTGTTCTGTTATCTTTTGTGTGGGCTTTGTTTTCAAGCTCACTGCTCTCATCAAAGCCTGGCTGCAGCCAGTCTGAGCATCAATCCAGACATGACAATATCGATGGGCGGGAAAGGGATCACCTTGTAACCTTTTAAGAACAAAGAGGGGCCCGGCGCTGTGGCGCAGCAGTTTAAAGCCCTGGCCTGAAGCGCCGGCACCCAATGGGCGCCGGTTCTAGTCCCAGCTACTCCTCTTCCGATCCCACTCTCTACTATGGCCTGAGAAAACAGTAGAAGATGGCCCAAGTCCTTGGGCCCCTGCACCTGTGTGGGAAACCTGGAGGAAGTTCCTGGCTCCTGGCTTCAGATTGGCACAGCTCCGGCCGTTGAGGCCATCTGGGTAGTGAAGCAGTGGATGGAAGACCTCTCTCTCTGTCTCTACCACTCTCTGGAACTCTGTCTTTCAAATAAATAAAATCTTTAAAAAAAAAAAAAAAAAAGGGGAGGGGGCTGGCGCTGTGGCATAGGGGTAAAGCTGCTGCCTGCAGTGTTGGCATCCCATATGGGTGCTGGTTCAAGTCCCAGCTGCTCCACTTCCATTCCAGCTCTCTGCTATGGCCTGGGAAAGCAGTACAAGATGGCCCAAGTCCTTTGGCCCCTGCAACTGCAAGGGAGACTCAGAAGAAGCTCCTAGCTTCGGGTCAGTGTAGCTCTAGCTGTTGCGGCCATCTGAGGTGTGAACCAGCAGATGGAAGACCTCTCTCTCTCTCCTCTCTCTCTGCCTCTGCCTCTCAAATAAGTAAATGAATCTTTAAAAACAAAAAAAAAAAAAAAGAGGAGAGGGGTCGGGTGGTGTTGTGGTGTAGCTCGTAATGCTTCTGTCTGTGATCCCATATGGGTACAGTTCGAGTCCCGGCTATTCCACTTCCAATCCAGTTCCCTGTTAATGTTCCTGGGGTAAACAGCGGAGGATGGCCCTAGTACTTGGGCTCCTGCACCCCCATGGGAGACTTGGAAGAAGCTCCTGGCTCCTGGCTTTGGCTTGGCCCAGCTCCAGCCCCAGCTATTGCAGCCATTTGGGGAGTGAACCAGCAGATGGAAGATCTCTCGCTCTGTCTCTCCTCTCTCTGTAACTCTGCCTTTCAAACAAAGCAAAACAAAAAGGACAAAGGCAAGGTAGAATTGTGACACAGCAGGGTAAGTCTCCACTTGGGACTAAGCATCTTACATTGATGTTCTTGGGTTCAAGTCCCACCTCTGCTTCCAATCCAGCTTCCTTCTAATGTGCACCCTGGGAGGCGGCAGAGATGGCTCAAGTACTTGGGTCTCTACCACCCCATGGGAGACTTGGTTGGAGTTTCTGGCTCTTGGCTTTGGCCTGGCCCAGCCCTGGCTGTTGAGGGCCTGTGGGGGAGTGAACCAGTAGATGGAAGATCTCTCTGTCTCTCTACCTTTCAAATAAAGTGAAAAGAAATAAAAATTTAAAAAAGGAACACTCAGAACTACCTAAAAAGCAGACTTCATATCTCTGAAGCAAAATGGCTGTCCATGTCCAGGTCTAATTTAGGAACTGGCAGGAGAAATGGGATAACTGTGATTGGCTCAGACCCACCTAGGAAGAGCTCTGGAGCTCTGGCTGGGGACAGATTTTTCTGCGGTGCAGGCTGTGGCCATGGGGAGAAAATGGAATTTCTCTTAGGGGAGCGGGAGTGTGTGTGAAGGAACTGGACGTTGATTAGGTGAGTGGGCAAGCACTAGTGCCTGCCAGAAGCCAGAAGGCAGTTGTACTGAGGCTCCCTGATGTGTGCTTAGGCCCTTTATAGACATCTCATTATGACCTTCGCACAGCCTTGTGGCATAGGAAATCATTCTACTTCACAGACAATCAACAGGAGCTCAGTGAGGTTAAGGGCATAAAGCTAGTAAGAGGCAGCACGGGAATCCACACTCCAGTCTGCCTGATGCCAAGTCCCCGCCTTCCCATCCTAGCACTCCCTGTGGCTATAAATATGTAAATGTTCCAACAGAATTCTTTACACTTTTCCCTGAGAGTAGCAAAGGCTGCACATCCCCACCTTGTTTCAGCTTAGCTCACCATAAAAAGTTGGATAAGGGATCTGCTTTATTAGCCCTTTCTGATTTCCCCCAGGGACATTAAGAGGATGGCAAACACTCGGGGAGGCACATACTGGAGGTTTAGATGGGAAATTAATAAACCAAATGAAAAACAACAGGTCTGTGCACTCCTGAGAAGTGAGCCCCGCGCAGACAAGGGATTTAGATGCATATCTGTGTTCAGGCACGGAGTTGTCTGGGTAGAGCTTAAATGTGTGTGTGTAGCATGGGCATCGGAGAAGGCTCTGATGCATATGTAAACTTAAATGAGGGCTAGG